ATAAAATATACAACAAGCCAAGAAACAGAAACATAAGCCACACATGGCACAATAACAACACAAACAATAAACAAGAACATGAACAACTAACCACTTGCAGTGCAAGAAATAAAAGGAGAGGCACAAGCACAGAACACACTAGGGCAAACATCATAGCCAGAGGGGCACATATTACAACAGAAGCAAATGAACAGAGAAGCAGTAAATGGTATAGCTACACGCAAAGTATGTTAAAACATGTAAGGAACACAATAAACAGGGACATTGAGAAAACTAAAAATAACACCGGCCTGAAGGGCTCACAAGAAATACAACGCATAGCAGAACATACCACAGGTCCCATGCATACACTAGACACACAGCAATCACGCAAACTACTCCGCTGGGAAACGAATACAATACGCCTCTCAAAGCAACATGATGTTGTCCGGAACAGGGTGAGCATGGGCCGTACGAGGATCAGGCATCAAGTCCGGCACACCCTCAACAAAACACCGAGCCTGCGGAACCCAGACGGTCGAGGGGCACCACGGAACAGGCTGCACGCGGTCAACAAAGTAAAACGACAAAGGGTTTTTCTTCCTATCATACGCTACGCCGGAGGCCAAGACGATTGGTAGGGGCTTTGGTAGGGGCGATTGGTAGGGTAGACGATTGGTAGGGGCACTGCCCGTTGCCCGGCCCCCACGGGGCCGGGCAACGGGCAGTGCACTTGCAGCCTCCTTCGCAGTTCCACAGGGCTCCGCGGCAACCACCGGACGTGTCACCTGCAGGGGCCCCCCACGCCGAACATCCTTCTTCAGCAACAACACAAGGTCGCGGCCCGCACCAGCACCCACACCACCTACATCCGTAGGAGCAACCACCCCCCACTGCGGAGAACCTTCTACAGAAGAAAGAACAGGAGGTGAATCATATGCACAATCATCATCATCAGCAGGTACATGGACGTCAGCAACTACCATCGACATAGATCGCGAAGCACTCGGATCCACCACATCATCGCCTGAAGACCCACCGGCGTCGAAATCCTCCACATCAGCCCAAGCAGTAGAAGAACGCGGGGACCGTTTGGGCTCCGGCCGCACACCCTCAGAGCCAGAGGCTGACCCAGAACCACGGGCTTCACAAGCCGTGCGAACCGATGCCCGTCGCATGACGGCAGCAGCCTCAACCGCAGGGGGAACCGGGCCGCACACAACAGGACGCTCCGCAGCCCCCCCAGCACCCAGCTCAGCTGAAACATCCAGCGAAGGCGCAGGGCCAGATGCAGCAGCAGGAGACGAGGAAGACGAAGACGTCGACGACATGCAGAGACCATCTGGAAGACCCCCGGGAGCAGCTGTGACAGCGACAGGGGCAGGAAGATCAGCCGACGGCACCGGAACACCCGGAGGAGGAGCCACACCATCAGGAAGACTGCTGGGCGACGCAGGGGGAGCCGCAGCAGCCAACGAGACGTCAACATCCTCGCCCACGGAATCCACCCCAACAGGGAGCGGCGGGAAATCATCCTCCTGGAACAGGTTCACAGGAGCGACAGCAGCCTCCGAGCACCGGGCAGCCTGATGCCCCAACAGGCCACACAGAAAGCAGGTACGGGGTTGCCAGGCATAGTAAACCCGGACGTAGTACCCCAGAAGCCGGACCGAAGAAGGGATGTCAGACCTCAGGCGCATCCCAAGGGTACGAATGTTCGTCCGCATACCCTTATACCTCCTTGAGGACAGCGTGTGCACCCGCACACTGACGACCGCGCCAAACTGCTGGAAGTAATGCCGGAGTAGATCTTCGGGGAACTCCAAGGGCGCCCCGTGCACAGCAGATGTAGGAGAACAGTCCCAAAGGCGCCGAAAGACAAACGCAGGAAGGCAGCGAAAACCCAGCCTAACCAGGCTGAGAGGCCAAAACCCGCGTAACAAATAAGGGAACAGCGTAAACCCAAGGCAACAGGGTAAAAAGAGAGGAAGTCTCGGCAACGAAAGGCACAGACTAAACCTACGGGACTTGAAGCCTAACAAGGGGACTGAAGGAAAGTCTGGTCTAGAGCAGAGAAGTGGTGGGAAAACCCCCATGAGTTCCCCCCCCCCCCGCCCTAGGGGGCACGCGAACACGTCGACACTTGGCAAGGTAACAAAGGTGTCGGCTCCCACAGGCGCGCCCGCACAGTGGGGGGGAAACGGAATTAACAGTGGGCTGAGGAGAAGATAAACGTCGCCGAGGCGCACTGAACGGCACCCAACCCGGTCTGAGAAAGGACATAGGCCCAAAGGCGAAGGGGGCGTAAACAACTTAGAATGAAATGGAAGAATGCGGAAGTAAGGGGGCGAATGCCGAGTAAACGAGGGAACCGAGGAGGGGGGGGCACCCGGTAAGCTGCCACTCGTTCACCGAGCTGGCCTTACTTAAACGTACAAAGTCAAGGGGGAGACAAGCATAAATGTAACCCAGAAAAGGAACATGCAGCTGGCAATGCATAACCTGCAGGAGACGAGTGGTGCTGAGGAAGACTGAACAAAACAGGTCCAAGATAACTTAAAGCAAGGGGCATGAGGCCCATGACACAGCAACGAGCCCAACGCGGCTGAATTTACCCAATAGCTTAAGGCAAAAGCGCTAGTTAAACACCTATAATTGTAGACCAAGAAATAAAATAACTATGCAACAAGAGCGAAGCATAGCTTGCGGGAGAAATTGCAGAGGTAAACTAATCCTACATGTAGGCCAGAATAAACTTAAGCAAGAGGCCAAAAAGGGGGGGGGGGCCGTGTACTGCAACTAGCGCGACCTAGTTGACTTTACTTAATAACTTAATGTCGGAAGCAAAAGTTAAACAACCATAAATGTAAAACCAGAGAAGTAAGTTAAACAGTAGCTTGAATAAACAAAGCAAGAGGTAAGAGGCCCACAACACAGCTACTAGCACATGCTAGCTGACCTTACATAATAGCTTAGAAGCAACAAGCGGAGTTAAACAACGAATGGAACCGGGGGAAGTAACATAAATAAACAGCGAAAGCTAAGCGTAAAACGGTAATAAATTGAGAGGAAACTAATCATAAATGCAGGGCCAGAAAACTGAAAGCAAGTGGCGAGGGCCCGCAATACTGCAACTAACACATCCTAGCTGCCTGGAAATAATACATACGGCAATGCAAAGAGAACAAACGAACTGTAGACACAACCAAGGAAATAAACAAGAACAGGGGCAAATGCAACAAAGTAGAAATAAATTAGGTAGGCTAAATGTAACATGTCGCCCTATAACAAATAAATAACAAATTTACAATAACAAACATAAATGATACACAACATAAATGTAACCAAATAAGTAACATGAATATGCTGCAAGAGCTAAGCGTAAAATACTGTAAAAAATTTCTGAGGAAACTAGTCAAAATGCAGGGCCAGGAAAATGTAAAGCGAAAATAAGGGTCCGCAATACTGCAAATAGCACATCCTGGCTGACTTTACTTAATAATTTACTTAATAATACTGCAAATAGCACATCCTAGCTGACTTTACTTAATAACGTAAGGCAAGGTAAAAGTTAAACAAACATACTGTAACACAGCAAACGTAAAATAAACATGCGACATGAGCAATGCATCAAATGTAGGAGTAAATTATGGTAGGCTGCTTGGAAATGTGAATCCGGGGGAATCTGAAAGCAGGAGGCTTGACAATGCTGAAATGTAGAAACATAATTATAGGAATAAGAGCAAGGCATAACACGGTATAACTGCAAGCACAAATAAGGATATATAATCAGCCTGTAGAGAAAAGTGAACCATCAAGCCCTAAAAGGAGCTGAATTGTTCAAATGTCAAGACAAACAATAAAGCACTACCAAAATAACATGGGCATGAGGTGAAAGCCAAGGAATAAAATCCAGGAGTTGAATAAGCGTAAGGGGCACCTCCTGGGCGCCATTCTAAAATGAAGAAATAAGTTTAACGAGCGTAAATAAATAATTAACAGCGATAAATATGAGTCGCCCAAGCGGCCGACCTCACAACAACTAGGAGAGGATGCTTAGGGTACAGGGCTGAGCGGAGAGGGGGAGTGGGAGGGGGGTGCTAAGCCTCCTCCCGACGACGCTTCGACACAGCCACCCACTGGAGGAAACCGGGCCCCAGGCAACAGTGAGGGCCACCACCCCCGTCCAGGGCTACTGCCCCTGGTTCTGGACGCCGAGGACTTAACGAACATCGAGGGGGACGACTACTCCTGGCTTGCCGCCTGCAACGTCGACGCCGAACCCTGGACCTGTGACGCTTACCGTTAGACGAAAACCTACCGTAGGGGCATCCGGGACGCCTGCAGACTTCGTCAGGCTGATCTCAGGACCGTGCTCCGACGCCAGCGGGCCCACCCCGACGTTGAAGAACCACTGACGACGCAAGACGGACGGGCAGGTGGATGGGCGAACAAACGCTGAACTTACAACGGAGAAAGGAATCCGTGCTACAACGTACGGGCAAGGCACTTGTGACGAACGCGCCGGGCTACACCGGCCAGGCAGAAACGCCTGGGAACCAACCTGCTGGGCAACACCGGCCAGACGTAAGGTCTGGGAGCGACGGTCCTGGCCACCCCGGCAGGCAAAACTGGATACGTGCCTGTGGGGGCCCGGACCGACGAAAACAGCTTGTTACTAACGCACTGGGCTACACCGGCCAGACGTAATGTCTGGGTACAACATGCCGGGCTACACCGGCCAGACGGACGTCTGGGGACAACATGCCGGGCGACACATCCGGGGAAAATGTACTTGGGGACTCCGGGTCAACAAAGCGGCCTGGGACTAACTCTCCGGGCAACACCGGACGGACGAGTCGTTCGGGGACGAACGTGCCTAGCTGAGAACAAAACGGGCACGCCATGAACCCCCGTGGCCTACCCACCAAGCACTGCCACAAGGCATGACTCTTGGCCTAGGGTGAAGGGAGCCCCACAGCAAGCACGCCCAGACGGGCGCAGGGCAGCCCTAGCCCCAAATGAGGGAAAGCCATGGCACAAAGCCACGTGGATTAGCACCCAAAGAAGGGACAGAAAGGGCAGAACACAGCCCAGGCGGGCGCTCCACAGAGTGCCATGCCACGTGGGCATCACAACCAGGACGTGTGCCCCGGAACAGGCCTGGGCGTAAGGCCGGAACCTGGCCACAAGTCGTCGCCGACGGCGACACATGGCCTCACTCAGGGAAACCTAGCCCCACGGGACAGCCCAGAGATACCCAGCAGACCGGCAACAGGGAACACACGAGGAAAGGGCGGGAAGGACGCCTAAACACGCCCAGTCGACCAGACACATGGTCGATGCCGGCGTGGCATGGGCCCCAAGGGCTGTGCCCAAGGGTCATAGAGCCACCCACGCCTGGCCACGTGGCGTATCCCCTAGGGGCAACGCCGGGCCGCCCTCAGGGCCCCAGGCAGGGCGCACACCCGGGCACGGCACGCTGCGAGGCCCCCAGGGCACGTACGGGAACGGCTGGATGGAGCCTCCACCTGGGCGGAAACCGAACGCAGTCCACTAGGGACGCGGCCCAGCACACGCCAGCCCTAAGCAAGGCCACACAGCAAGCACAGCACGGAGCGCCCGACACGGGCCCAAAAGGGCGCCCCTGCACTCCCGGGCAGCCTAACAGCAGAAAGCCCGAGGGACTAGCTAAGGCGGCACACACAGACCGCGAGGGGACGGCGCTAGGCACACGCCACACTGGGGAGGTCCTGACTAGAATTGAACAGAAAAACCCTCACCTTGGAGATCAAAGTGTAGGGCAGGAGGCCCCTGCCAGATCAGTCTAGGATGTCGAGGGCCCCATAATGTCCGTGAGAGAGAGGTCAGGTACCGAGGCAGCTGGCGTGATGTCCATCTCGTGCGTAGACCGACGTCCGGAGAGTGAGTTGCGAGGGCAGGCGAAGTGAGGTCCCAGTCCCAGCAACTAGTCTTGGAGGGAGTAACGGGAGATTTCACCCATATTCTAGTGTTACTAGGCAATGCAGCGGCGCCAGGATGCAGCCACCCAGGGCCTACGTTAATAACTATTATACTTCCCTTATTTGCTGGGCTATATTGTAGTATTAATATTAATCCATATCGTTACTGTCATTCCAGTATTATTTTATTACGAGTATAAATTGTTATTACAGTTTAGCGTTGCTCTCTTAATTTCTTGAACTCTGCGGCACTTGCCGTCATATTGGTTATTTACGATATTATTTTGTATTCTTAATATTATCCTTATTACAGTTACTGGACGCTAGTTCCCTGCCATCTATTTCACTTTTCTTCTGTTCTACAAGATGTAGCCAAAGTTCTCGGCGTACTAGCTGCGGCTTTCAGACGCTCATTGACAACAGAAGACTACACTCAGCGGCAGGGAATCACCCCAGAGTCCCCAGAGGGAATCACCTCTTATAAATCACCCCAGACTGCCAGCGCAACGCCGCGGGATGCGCTGCGCAATTGTTTCTTTCTCCCCCATCAGAAACATCTCCGCTTGCGAAGCAGAGGCCATTTCTTGTTGTTGAAGGGAGGGTCGGTACCCGCCCCCCCCCCCCCGGCAGCCACTAAGGGGAAGACGCATTATTCCTGTTGCTAGCTTGGCTGGTTGGGTTCATCCTGATAGGTGTGCTCTCTTTCTTTGCGGCCTTACCAAGCTTAGAATTGTTTTGCATGGTAGCAGCAGAGATGTACCCAGGCAGATGGGGTAGACTCGTTGATGTAAGTAAGTAATTATCAAAAGAAGGCACCAAACCGGGAAGGCTATGTAGCACCATCAAATGCGCAGAATAATCAGAGGGCGCTAAATATCACCAAGGATGCCAATACGAGAACAAAAACGCATAAGGCGAACGATATCAAAAGTATCTGAGTCACCAAGAATTCTATTGAGGGACAGGTGACCGCGAGGGGCAGTCGGAAAGCAAGACACACGCTCGTCCTGGAAGTCAGGACATTCAAGAAGGACATGCACGACCGTAAGAGGGACAATGCAACTAGGACAATAAGGAGCTGGGCGGCGCTCCATCAAGTGACCATGGGTTAAGCGAGTATGGCCAATACGCAACCTCACCAGAGCTGTTTCCCATCGCCGGTTACGGTGGTAGGAGGACGGCCACGAGGAAACACAACATTTAAGAGTACGTAGTTTGTTACCAGTAACACACGACCATGAAGCCTGCCAACGGGTAAGGACGGAGGAATGGATAACCGGGTAAAAGTCGGAATATGGAATACCTTTATGAGAGATGGGACAAGAGCGGACAACTTCCTTGGCGGCAGCATCCGCAAGCTCTTTTAAAGACACACCAATATGGCTAGGAACCAGTCAAAACTCAACCAACTTAAATTTACTGTGAACAAGAAACAGCCAATGCTGGATCTCGACAACTACTGGATGAACCGGATTAAAGGACCCGAGAGCCATGCGGGCACTATGAGACTCAACAACAACTACAAAGGAAGACTGACAACGAGAAAGCAGGAGACGAAGAGCATAGAGAATAGCATAAAGCTCCGCTGTAAAGATGCTAGTCTCTGGAGGTAAGTGACACATATAAGTGCGATCAGGAAAAACAACAGTAGCCAACACCGTCCGCAGACTTAGACCCATCGGTGAAGACAGAAACGGAGCGGGAGTGAGAAGAAAAGTGCTCAAGGAAACGGCATTTTAGAACCGTAAGAGGGGTAAAAGCTTAAGTGATACAGGTCAAGGAAGTACAAAACCGCGGAAGAGGGACTCTCCACGGGGGAAAAGAAGGAACAACACGAGGAGAAACATCAGAAATACGAACGGAAAGAGAATCCTGTAGGCGAGATAACCGGATAGAAAGAGGGAGGTGGTGAAGAGGAACAGGAACCGCAGAAGGGGTAAAAGTTAAAGCACGACAGAGGCGAGAGGAAGGATGTTGTAAGGACCGCGCAAGATAGCGAAGACAGTAGCGATCACGGCGGTCTTGGAGAGACAGGAAGCCAGTGTCAACATACAAGCTAAGGACGGGAGTCGAACGAAAGGCACCAGAACTGAGGCGCAACCCAGTTTGGTGCAAAGCATCAAGACGGCGAAGAGTAGAAGGAGAAGCAGACGAGTAAGCAGGGCAACCATAATCGAGCTTAGACAGGACGAGAGAGGAATGTAAAGCAAGGAGAGTGCGCCTATCTGCCCCACAAGAAGTATGGGACAAGACCCGAAGGAGGGTAAGGGCCTTAGAGCACTCAACACGGAGGTAAGAGATATGGGGAGACCAAAACAAACGAGTGTCAAGGAACAACCCCAAAAGCTTCGCGGAATCTTTGTACTCAAGGGGATGACCATAAAGTAACAAAGAGGGTCGAAGAACGACCCGTTTCCGCGTAAAAGTCATGGCACAAGTCTTAGAAGTAGAGAACTTGAAGCCATGACCGGTGGCCCAAGACGACACGGCATCAATTGCAAGTTGAAGCCGGCGCTGGAGGAGAGGCGAATCATCACCCTGACATCAAAGGGTAAGATCATCGACATAGAGAGCGGAGAAGACACCTGAAGGAAGAGAGGAAAGAAGACCATTGAGGGCAACCAGAAAGAGAGTAGTGCTCAGAACAACTGGGGCACACCTTCGTATTGCTGAAAAGAGGCAGAAAGAGCGGTACCAAGGCGCACCGGAAAGGAACGACGAGAGAGGAAGCTGCGGAGAAAGAGAGGGAGATGACCATGAAGGCCAAAAGAATGAAGTTGAGATAGAATATGATATCGCCAAGTGGTGTCGTAAGCCTTTTCCAGGTCAAAAAGGACGGCAACAACGGAGGTCTTCGCAGCAAAAGCAGTACGAATATAGACCTCCAATTTCACCAGGACATCTGTCGTGCTGCGGCACTTGCGGAAACCAAATTGAGAAGGGGAGAGGAGGTGATGGTGTTCCAGGAACCACATCAGACGAACGTTAACCATACGTTCAAAGAGTTTGCAGACACAACTTGTGAGAGCAATAGGGCGAAAGTCCTTAGGGGAAGTACCCAGAGACCCCGGTTTGCGAACAGGGAGGACAACGGCATCGAGCCAGTCCTCAGGGACTGACGACGATTCCCAGATCCGATTATACAGACTCAGTAAATACTGAGACGTGCTCGGAGGGAGATGGCGAAGCATCTCATAATGAATACCATCGGAGCCCGCCGCCGTAGAACCGCAGAGGGCCAGGGCAGAACGAAGTTCAGAGAGAGAGAAGGGATCATTATAGGAAAGCTGAAGACGAGTGCAGAAATCTAAAGGACGAGACTCAAGGACAGGTTTACGAAGAAGGAAAGATTGGGGAAGATGAAGACCAGAGCTAACAGAAGAAAAGTGGGAACCCAGTTTGGAAGCGACCTGCAACGGGTCCGCCACAAGAGTATCATGGAGGTGAAGGACCGGTGAAACATCGGGAACGAACTTACCCGCTATCTTGCGGATACGCTTCCAGATCTGGGCCAGAGGGGTTTCGGACGTAATTGTTGAGACATAAGATGCCCAACATTCACGTTTAGCCGTACGGATGGCCCTACGGGCCACCGCACTCGCTTTCCGAAAGAAAAGAAAAGAATCGGTCGTCTGCCCACGGCGGTGCCTCTTCCAGGCTGCACGCTTACAGCGGACAGCCCGAGCACAGTCCGCATTCCACCAGGGAACGCACTTCCGTGGACCCCGAGAGGAAGAGCGAGGAATAGAGCAGAGGGCAGCGTTGAAGACAGTGTCATGAAAAAGGAGGAGAGCGCGAGTGAGAGGCAGAATGGAGAGGTCAGAGAGAGCAGCACTGAGGGTAAATAGGTTCCAGTCCGCTTTAGCAAACTGCCACCTAGGGAAGGAGAGGGAAGGGCGAAAAGAGAAAAAGGAAACAAGGATGGGGAAATGGTCACTGCCATGGAGGTCATCAAGAACCTGCCACGTGAAATCTAAGTAAAGAGATAAAGAGCAAAGAGAAAGATCAAGACAGGAAAGGGTGCGAGTCCGAGAGTCCAAATGAGTGGGCTCACCAGAATTCAGAAGAGACAGGGAAGGAGAGAGGATAAACGGCTCAAGAAGGCGATCTCGGGTATTCGTCAGAACATCACCCCAAAGAGAATGACGACAATTGAAATCACCTAGCAGGAGCACAGGCTCCGGCAAGGAGTCCAGTAGGTGTTAAAGATCAGGAAGAGAAAGCGGGACACTCGGGGGGAGATAAATGGAACAAACTGTGTACCATTTCCCCACAAAGATACGAGCAGCAGAACAATGGAGAGGTGAAGGAAAAAGTAAAGGAACAAAGGGAACATCAGCAAGAATCAAGAGAGCAGAAGAATTAGAAGCCCCAGCAATGGCTGGGGGGGGGGGGGGGAGAGAAAGGAATAGCCACGAAAACGACCAGGACGAGCACCAAGCATTGGCTCCTGGAGACAGACACAAAGGGGCGAAAACCGCGAAATCAGAAGTTGGAGTTCGAGGAAATTGGAGTAATAACCTCGAACGTTCCATTGAAGAATGGACAACGACGAGAAGAGAAAGGACAAAAACAGAGAACAAGGAAGAAACAAAGGCGAAAGAGCAACAGAGCACGTTAAAGAATATCAGGGTCGGGATCAGGGTCAGCAAAGTCAGGGTTAGGGGGCATGGGTAAACTGAGCAAAGACGGAGGGAAGGAAACGGGAGAACAGATCAGAGGTGGGCGGGCGGGGTCCGGAGGAGGAGGAGGAGGAGGAGGAAGAGGAGGAGACAACGGAGAGGAGCAGTCAAGGACAGCAGCAGGAAGAGGGGGAGTAGAAAGAGGGGAGCGCACTCCAGCAAGAGCAGCAACCGAAAGGGAAGCAG